CAACACTGACGTCGTTTCTTCTGCAGAAACAGGGAAGTAATGGAAAGTTGTCGGAAAACTTGTTGGTCTGCAAAAGATTTTGAACTTGGGAAAATGTTCCCCTCAACAATATCAACCCCCCCCCCCAAAAAAAACAAAACAAAAAAAAAAAACATAAAAACAGAATTACAGTTTATAGTTTATATTAAAACATATCTATGCGTTTCGTCAAAAGCTTTCAACCTAATTTCAATCAGGAATCTATGGTGAGATTTAGAAATTGACGTTCACACCAGCTCTAAGTCCACTGGAAAAAGTCAAAAATATCATTGTCTTCGTATTAGACATTTCAAAAGGCCTTTCAGCTTGATTTCACTGAAAGGAGGTTTTCTCATGACTCGGTGTCTAAATCCAAAGCTATGCTTTTCACATCTTTGTGAAAATTTTTGAAAGCTTTGCATCATTGTCCTCCCACTTCACAATTAAGTGAAAGGTGAAAAAGTTGAAAGAGTCAGTACTTTTGAAAGGCACTGTACTTTACCCCCATCCCCCCCATTTTAAATCCTTTCTTTGAAAGCTGTTTGACACATTTATTGGTTTTTGACTTCATGGGCAAGTTTTCTATTCAGGCTTTAGGCATCACCACCCATAAATCGAGACTTATTGTTGTTTGCTTTGCCACGGCGTTGGCCTGGTCGGTGAAAAGGACACTTTGTTTCACTTATCAAATGGAAACTAGGAAACGCACGCAGTAGGAGCAGTAGTGTGGTAGGGTTGAGGACATGACCTGGACACAGGAATGAAAAGATTATTTGTTTCTGCACAAAGAGTTTTTCAAGCCTCCACATGCTGATATTTGATCCTACACAAAGACACTAATGCTGTTTACTAGAAATCACTGTTCTGTTTCCTTTTTTTGTGTCTACATTAGTGTCATATCAGATTTCATCCATAACTGTGTTCAATATGCTTTTAGACTGTTTGCTTAAATGAATTAGTCTCCTTCATTGTGCAGTCTTGTGCTCTAATGGCTGCAGATGTTTTATATAATGGCCAAAGACAGAATGCGTTTTTCAGCGGAACTTGTAGTCATTAAAAAACAAAAAAACAAAAAAAAAAACGATATAGGATGCTGTCTTAATGGATATTATTAACCACACAAGAGCAGCTTGGCTCAAGGCTTGGGATCATCTGGCTTGTCTGAGGCCATTTCTATCATTTTAGTCTAGACTGATGTATTTCCGTGGCTGTCTCATAACGGGTTTGTGCGCATGATGCTGTTGCTTCTTCACGTCTCAAAATGGCACCTGCACACAAAGCGCAGAGGAGCCAGAATGTGTAAGTGACTTAATGACTCGGCAGCAATTCATGGAGGGGGAAAGTAAATAAGCTAAATAAACAAAATGTAATTAGCATGAAATATTGGCCACTTGGTGTACAGGCTAGAAAGCCTCATGCATATTTATACCCCTGGCAAGTTTAGATTCAAAATATCAAGTTGGGGAAAAATGAAAAATCATTTGCATTTTTTTTAAATGACCTGTTAAAAAGGTTGTATTCATTTCTTAATCAGTTGAAATTACAGCAATCTCCTTGTAATTGCTGAGCAGCTTTTTTGCAACCTTTGGACAATTGTTCACGATGAGCTTTAAGTTTGATGTTGGAAGGAAAGCATTCTCACCATCGCCCCTTATCTTCAGATTCAACCTGGACTCTGGCTTGGCCGCTCAAAAATGTTAAGATATATTTGTAGACTGTAATTTTAGAGACTGAATCCCATTGTGAACAGATAAGTGGGTATATGGTCAGACTGATGATCATGATTGCAGGATTCAAAGAGGTGTGTAAAGCAGAAACTTTTCTAAAACAAAAAAACCCGTACTGGATAACCTTACAGAGAGCTTTAAATGTTAAAATCAATGCTGGGTTGGAGAGAAAGTCCATGGAGTTGCTTAGAAATGAGAGTGATATGATGGGCTTCAGGTCACAATGCAGGCAGCAAAGCTAACAACCACTTGGACTTTACAGATGGACTTGTGGGGCAAGACAGAGAGCAGAGAGTTATAATAATCAATACAAGAGGTGACAAAAAAAAAAGCCTCAATGGGAGCAGCAGAATCACCGAGTGTGAGAAACAGACAAAGACGATGCTTGAGTAAATGAAAGTAGGCAGGCTGAATACGGTTATTGATGTGTTTTTCTAAAGAGAGTGTGTCAGTGAGGGTGGAACCCGGAGTCGCATCTCTGAGGCGAAACACGGAGTTCAGGGAATTTTCCAAGAAATTAGCGAGATAATCTAAAACCTCGTGTGCTGAAACGCATCACAGCTGCAAGTATGGGATGTTAAAGTTTTTTAAGCTTTAAAGACAAGCAGTTCAATACTTTTGGCTATTTGATGTAGGTAGAGTTGGGTCCTCCATCTGTCCATTATTTTTATTTTTTTCATCTCAAGTAAATCTATTGGATTTTCTTTAGTTTTTTTTTATTTTTGCTTTTCTATATCTTGACTGCCCCGCTACCAGCTATTGTGAAGTTAAAATTAAAACTGTAAAGAAAAACAAGCAGCTGTTTCTCATGAATGGGTGATTTGTTTTTAGTCTTGAGTCAGTTTGTGAGATGATTTGAAAACTGTATATAAAACTGCAGCAATATTACATTTGTCTTTACATAATCTGCTCTTCTAGGGGTTTTTTTCCCCTCCGTCATTCTATGCGGGCTTTCTTCCATTTTTGTTTTATTGAGTTCAGTGCCATGTTGCCAAGGAGGTAAACCTTAAATGGATCACTAATGAAGTTCGTGCAACGAGAAGCATTTTGGAAATAGTTAATTTACCCAATCTGATGAATGCTTTCCCCAGAAACGGCACTTTTATTAGACTCCCCTTAATGAGCCACAACTCTACTGTGTCATCCACCAACCAATTTGTTTGTAATAAATGTAGGACCTTGTGCTGAAAATGAAACGGAGAGCAAAACGGCACTTTTCCGTGGGACGCACGTCAATAACCGAAGACATCTTTAAGTGTACAGAAAACACCGCGGTATGTTGTTTTGAGTAGCCGGCGGAGGCATAAATAGCTTTTTCAATACATACAAATTTTCATGCATTTTATGGTTGTTACCTTACTTTAACATTATCTTGGTTCTGAAGAGTAGCTTTTAGGAAATTGTCCCTTTTCATTTCACCTCTGCCTTTTCACGGAAGTTACCGACGCTGAATTGTAAATTGAAGAAGGCTGGAAGGACGAGGTAGATGCCGTAGTGGCAGCGCAGAATAAAAGTCATGCACTTCGAAATGCGCCACTGAATCCTCCATTACAAGTAGAATATTACAGGTGTAGCCTAGAGATATCTTCATTTCACTTGAAGACAGACCACTCTCCTCTTTCCCCTCTCCAGCTGAGACGACCCATGCTGGGTACTGCAGTGCTTCTCATCTACCACATGTGCATAATGGCTTGTATAATGTCTTGGTGTTTTTTTTTTTTCTTCCTTTCACTTCATATTAACCACTATGGAGTCTCTCTTGAGTGTAGCAGGATTCAGATAAGGAGGTGTCTCGGTGAAATCTAGCGAATGTGAATGAGAATTGCAATTGTTTAATATTGTTTTTGCCATCAAAAGCCCAATTCCCTCAATAATGTCTTTGTTTTTAATCATTCAAATCCAATAAAATTCAAGAATACTCTCTATTGATCCCAAAGGGAAATAAAATAATCACGATGAGCCCACCACTCTGCCTGAGATTTAGGATCTTGGTCATTGAAACCTACGTCAGGCGTGTGCAGAAGTACTGCGAAAGTCCGTTCAATTGCCCCAAGTATTCAAACCACACTTTTCATATTTTTATTCATAAAACGTGTTCAAAGAAATGTCTAATTTTCCTACTTTGTGCTTGTTTATCTCACAGCATCTCTGTGAAATCTATTATGTTTGTGGTTAAAACATGACAAAAGGGCTAAAACAAACGAGGTCTGAGTAATTCAACATCTTAAACCGTAAAACTTGTGAAATCTTATCGTCGTTTGTTTGCAGTTATTCCAGTTTTCATTTCATCGTTGCGACCCTGTCCTTTGAGTGTGTTGATGGTTTCTGGGGAAAACGGGATAGTGGGACAAAAACCGCCAAAGTTTCACGCAGACGGATGAAAAGCTATACGAGAAGGCTTTAGGAACGGGTTGGTACATTTTAAATCGCTGCCAGCTGGACGTGTCATCTGCTCACTGGCAGGAGACAAAGCGATCCTCGTCAGTGGATTAGAAGGTCAGGCTGTCAGGCCGGTTCCCCGCGGAGCTCGACTCTTGGACACCAGAGATGATGCGGCCTGTGTGTGTATGTGCGGGCTCACCAATGCACATGGTATCCACATATGTTTATGCGGCTTGAGCATAAGTTCCTGTGTGTTAGCTCCCGCTGTGAGGAAGTTTAATTTAGAGCACATTACATTACACTAGATTCAATAAGCGCATGTTTTCATCCAAAGGGACTCCACAAGTACTAGAGGGACGGGAGAGTTTAATATCCAGCCTGTGAACATGCAGATTTAGGAATGCGGGGAATCGGATCACCTCCTGAGCTGCAGTGGCAGCATTCACTTTGTGTGTGACGGTGGGTCTCTGGTTTATTCACCCTACAAAACAAGGGTGGTGTTTGAGTTCACCATTTTGTGGAAATGGACAAAGAGGAGAGAAAAGGGGCCAACAGAAGAAACAAATAGTATAAATTTACTGTGGAAAAAAAAAAGAAAGTACTGATGGTAGAGGAAGATATGCAAAGGTTCATAATAACACAGATCTAAAAACAGAAATGTGTTTGTTCAAAGTGTCGCACTGTGTTTGTGGTAAACCTCTCGTCAAAATGAATATCAGCGAAAGTCTCAAAAACCAAAACTAACTGGTCAGAAAAGCTTTCTTTTTGAGATAAACATGTTTTTCTCACCTTTATTATTATTTACATCAGTGGATAAGACTGCAAAACGAAGAGACACTGTTGTTCATCTCATTCTTTCTTCTCCTTTCACAGTCAACAAGCACAAGCCGTGGATAGAGACCTCCTACCATGGAGTGATCACAGAGAACATGGACACGGTGCTGCTGGACCCTCCGCTGGTGGCGCTGGACAAGGACGCCCCGGTTCCTTATGCTGGTAGGGAACCTTCAATCCCAAATGGCAAAACACTCAGATATGTGCGGTTTATCCAACCGGCAGTTTTTCTTACATTTTCACACAATTTATTGGCGCAGAAAGCAGGGTGCTCTCACACGTTTCCTCACTAAGACACTCAGGACAAAGATGCCACAGCTCTGTGCTCGGGCAGCTGTAGCAGCTTCACACCGCAGGACAAAAACAGATGATCCAGCAGTTCTCTGTGCCCACTGCTTGTCATGGAGCGTGAATTTCATGTATCACTTGCAGACGTGTAAAACAAATGCCGTATTTTTTATTTATTTTTTAGAAAGGGAGCATTTTTTTTCTCACCATGTAACAGGACAACTCTACAAACAAACAAAAGAATAAAATATTCAAGGCTGCATACGAGTATTTTTTAACTACAAATTCAGGAAAAGAGAGAGTGAATCCTTTTCACTTCTAAGACCAAATACGTTTTTATGCTGCGAGAAGATTCTGGGTTCAACTCCCAACCTGGTTCTTTCTGTATGGAGTTTGCATGTTTTCTACCATGTTATATGGCATCTTTTGCAAAAGCTGTGTTTTTTTTTTTCTTTTTTCCACAGCTTCAGCATACCGATTAAATGTTTGTCCGATAAATATTTTTATCGCTGCAGTAGACGACTGCATCCGACGGATACCGCCCAAAATGCTGAAGGTCACAGAAACGGTTGAAAGCACTGAAATGACAGATGAAAAGAAAGAGAAAATGAGGAACTCAGTGTATTTATTACAGCTAATATCACATTTAACAATGTTATACCAGTGGCTCAATTTTCAGTTTGTTCAACCCTATGTTGGAGTTCACTTTAGGTTTCATTAACCAAAGAACCGATGAGGAAGAAAAGCGAAAACGAGCTGAAAGAGGGATTCGCTTTGATATTTGTGTTTGAGAAAGATAAATGTATTTCTGCATCTACGGTTTATGTCAAATTAAGAGTTCCTAATTGTACACAAACTTTGCTGATAAAATGTTATTTTTCTGTCTGCTAAGCTCATGTGGCATTTCTGTACGGTGTAACCTAGCTGCCTTACAGCATAATCGATTATGCTTTTTAGTCTGCAATACGTTTTTAAAAGCGGATATCGCAACCCATTTTCGTTAAACATAAGCGGAAACACTGAAAACCCTCCTCAGAGCTGCTGTTCCTTTCCGCTCAGATGGGCTTACAGTGATTTGCAGCACATTGTTTTACCTGGTAAACAAATCTGCGATGCACTGAATGTTTAATGACGCCACAACAACCAGGCTGACACAAGGGAAAATTTATTTTAGATGCTTTTCTCAGTGATTAACATGTGGTTTGTTTGCTTGAGAAGGTCAACGTTGGTGAGAAATCACCCAGGAGAGAGAGAGGGAGAGAAAAAAAACCAGAAGCGTCTGACTGGTGATATTTCTCTCCTTGAATGTTTTTTATTGCTTGTGGTCTAATGAATGAAACCGGCACAATAGCTTCCAAGGAGACAGAAAAAATGGCCGTAAAAGAGCAGCTCCGTTCCAATTTATCTTCCTTGGCTTACCCTGTATTTTGTACAAACACCTCCATCCACTCCCCACCTCAACCCCACACAATCTAACTATTCTGTCACATTTTTATCTGGATCTCTACCCTCATTTGTGCCTTTTTTTCCCCTCCCCTCCAATCCTGGCACCTCATTCCCTCTTCCTGATTCCTACAGTCCTTCTTCCTCCTCTCTATCTCAACGCATTGCTCCCAGCGAGCCCATATTCAGCCAGTCACTTAGATTATAGACGCCCCTCATCAATCCTGGTTTTGTTTTATGGCAGGAAGGAGTGGGCTACCCTTCTGGCTCCATATTAATTGCAGAGTGAGAACACAGATGAGAATTGTTAAGCAGTTTCTGCAACTTTTATACAGCGCCGTAAAAGATATTTGGTCTCTTCCAGGTTTTTTTCTGTTCTTGGATTTTTGGCGCACCGACATGTTTCAAATAATCATCATAAAAAAACATAAACAAAAAGGGAACATATTACACAAAGATGACCTGAGTACACATCAAAATGTAATTACTTCATTTATTAGGAGAAAATTACATTGTAAAAAACAACAAAAAAATAGCTTCCATGCTAGATGAATGAATTAACTTTAATTAACCACGTTTTTGCTAAGATATTAATCGAAGGCTCAAGCTCCAACTCTTAAAACTACCAGCATGCACTGTGAATTGGTGCTATGTAAGTTAACTGAATGAATTTTTGTTTTTGCTGCTCAATTTCTTTGTTGCTTAAATTATGAGAGATAAATCAAGGCTGTGCACTGAACCTGCAGCTTCACGCTCTTCTTCCCAAGTCAGTAACTGAAAGAGCAACAAATTTAATTAATTTTCACGGCTATTCAGTTTACATGAATAATATTCTTAAACTATTTTTTGTCAGAGTTATGGTGGGTTGATTACCTAATGATCAAAATGATGTATAGTTTTGACTGAGTCTAGCTGTATTTATCTAAAAGATGTGCAGTGTGTCGTCTTGTTCAAGACAACTTCACATTTCAATCTTTATCACTGTTACTGCATGTTTTCTTCTGCACAAAAATGGTTTAAGTGGACATAGAAAAGCAAATTAAAATGAACATTCTGGTAAATCCTGTCTTCAGTCAGTGACTGAACCTTCAAACTCCGTCTAAATTTACGGGTTTCAGTCGATGTGCCTTTTTCTGTTGACTAAATTATTTTAATTTGTGAATGACAGCAGGTGTTCTGGCAATTCAGGCATCACTGCAGCTTTGGGGTGGATTTCTTTTTAATTTTATGTCAACTAAGTGCAAGGTAGATGTGGCTACACGGATGAATTTGTCTATCTACATAAGCTATTAAAATGTAGTTCATGTTTGAAAGAAAACGGAGAAAATCCAGAAAAGGAAAATACTTTTTACAGTTTTTTTTTTTATTTTTTTGTTTTGCTGTTTCCTTTCTCCTGTAAAGTCCTTTTTTTTTTTTTCCTTCTAAAGGCCTTCTTCTTACCAAACATTTTTATGCATATCCTCTTTACTCTCCATTGCCTTCGGCTGCGTCTGTCCCTCCTCTGCCACAGAACATTTCACTTTGATGTAAACAACCAACACTGCGCCTACCGACAGAAGCACAAAGGTGTGTGGGTCGAGGAGCGCTGCGTGTACCGATAGTCTTCTCAATCAAAAGTAGCGTGAGCAACGGTGGCTTAGGGCTTCAGGGGGCTACAAGGCAAACAGACAGTTTTGTTTGCTTATTCTTTATCTCAAGGCCACAGTCAACAGGCACCAATACTTTTCCATTCATCATACTACCAGAAAAATGTCCTTCGGTACATTGTTTCCTCTGGACGCACAGAGGGTGGAAGAACAAAAGTACTCTGAGAAGAAAGGGAGAATGGATAGCTGAGGGGGAACGGGGAGACAAAGAGCTGTTGAATGCAAGTGGAGGATGTTATAACCAGCTTCTTGGAGACAACTCTTATTATTCTTGTAGGGTGTTTGTGTGAGTAGCATGTAATTTTCATGATTGTGCAAACATAGTTATGATTCTGAATCGGTTTTCGACCCCTTTGCCTCCTCCCCCGTGTACTTGAGATGAAGATCATCGCCTGCACTCACCAATCGAGACTCGGCCAACATGAATCAGACTTCGAATGAATAATGGGTAATTTACCCATAAACTTCTTTCACACGCCGCCCCTCAAACCGGATCTAGTAATTCCTTTAATTTGCTTCAGCATCATTTGTGAAAGTACTTGCATAACGAGAAGGTTGAAGGTTTTCCACCTCTCATCCCTCCAAGCTGCGGTAGAAACACAGGTAGAGATCCACTCCTGGCTGATTTGATTTTCTGGGTTTTGGACTATTACACAGAAGAGAGAAAAAAAAGTTGAGGGGTTTCAACATAAAATATCAAGATTGATCCCATGCATTCATTTAAGTTTATGCCGTGAACCTTTTTCTGATTTTACTAATCCCAAAGCATGCAGCTGTGTTTAGTTCTGATGCATTTAAAGAACTGGAGAGCTGGGAATCTGCATTGCAAATTAGCTAAGGCTGTAAATGTTATCATGCTTGATATTATGAATACTAAGCACTTGTCCCCCACTCAAAACAAAACAAAACATCCAGAGAGTCTGAAAACAAACAATTTAATTTTACATTTTTAATTAGGTTTTATCCATCTTTTGTTTTCAGTTTAGAGTCGGAAAGCTCTATGTCAAATTTGTAGCATGATCAGGAAAAAAAAAAGAGATTGCCACTTGCTTGGAAATGTAGCACTGGTGTAATGATTTTAAAATCTGTGTTTAACTAGTTCAGTGTTGAAGAAAATTTGTGGCAATTGGTAAAAAAAAAAGTGCATGTAGAGGTAAATTTCTGACCAGCTCTTTGAAGGATTTGGTACTTTTAGAAGAACAGGCGCCCTCGGATCATAACAAACAGGTGTGTTTGTACCGTGTGACGGTCATTCAGTCGAGAAACATAAATCTGTTAAATCCAGTCTGTTAATGGGAAATGCTAAGCTTCCCATTGCTATGAAAGTTGTGCAGCATGTCTTCAGTTTTAGAAATGACTTGGTAACCATTTCCAGACTGACGGAGTCGCTTTGTGATGCTTCTTCAGATCATTCAGCTTTCATCTCGTCAGTTCTGTCCAGTCGCTCCTCGACTCCAGCGGTCTTGCTAATGAAGTCGTGTCCAAAAAGCGGTCAATAAAAATAACTTTTTTTTTTTTTTTTTTTTTACACAATGCCGTACACAGGAACATTAATCACGCAACACTACTACGGGAGTTCAGTCGGGTAGATTTATGCTTCGTCTTTTAGCAGAAGTAATGACAAAAATTACTGCCGTACAAGTAATGAAAAATTATGAGACTTAGTCACCATCCGAAAAGATGAACACAATAAGCAAGAAAAATGAACGTTAAAAAGGGAAATTAACTGCATGATTGCATAACAGAACAAATTCACCTCTGATTGCAGAAACACTTTTGGCTCAT